CTGTTTAATCAGTGTCAAGTCTATCCCATAAGAAATCAGATAAAGAGCAAAAAAAATGACTTGACATACTGAATAATTGCTTTGTGCTTAACCAGTAATGACAAGGATACCTAGACTCCACCTTTGCTGACAGAAAAACGGAGATTCTGAGTTGCAAAAGGGCCGTATAGCTGATCAGCTGCTATTCAACTTACAACAGGATGAGGAGAAGCTAATTTATTTTTTCTCTCCTTAAAACCATTCTTCTCTCTGGAAGGAAGTTACTTGCAGAAGGATACCAATAGTCACTCCTTTTTTACTGCATGAAAGCAAAACAGAAACACAAGTTTTTGTCTGTTGTACATTCAACCGAAAAAGGAAATACAACTACTATGGTATATAGCTAGCCTGACCCACCACTACATTCATTTATTCTGAGGAAAGATGGAAACTGGACTGACAGGGAACAAACAGCCCTGTTGCTATACTGTCCGCACAGCTTTGCTGGTGTATCTCAGCTAAGCCTGACAAGGATGTCATCCTGTCACCACTCTCGGTAAATGCCAGGCCCTTTTGCTAAATATGCTGTCAAGGGTGCCCGTTAGGATCAGCTAGTGAATTCCTATCTGGTAGAAATGGGACAGAGAGCAAATGAGCAGGTTTGAGCCCAAACCCGCCTCCATAAATTCAAGGGGGTGTTGTTTGAGACAAGGAGGGGAAATGGGGCAGGGGGAGTCAGCAATGTGTGTCTGTGGGGCGGGGGGGAAGATACCTCCATTCTTCTTTTTTAAACGACATCACCATGATTTCTGGATACAACTGTGACAGCAGATCTATTTTGTATCAGTGCAATGAGCAGGTTTGAGCCCAAACCCGCCTCCATAAATTCAAGGGGGTGTTGTTTGAGACAAGGAGGGGAAATGGGGCAGGGGGAGTCAGCAATGTGTGTCTGTGGGGCGGGGGGGAAGATACCTCCATTCTTCTTTTTTAAACGACATCACCATGATTTCTGGATACAACTGTGACAGCAGATCTATTTTGTATCAGTGCGCTCCCC